TAATGTGTTTTAATATTACCGAAATATCCGAAATATATTAAATAATGTAGTGTGTACTTTGAATATGTTAAATTAATACTTCTGTTCAATTATTTGTGTAATTATTTGTGCAATTTGTGTTAAATTATTTGTGTAATTTGGATGTTTAGTGCACTAGTGTGTACAAATTTTGTCAAAGTGACATTTAAACACTTTAATTATCCAATTATATTTTTTTAATGTAACCGAAATATCCGAAACCCGACCCGATATCCGATAATATCCGACTTAAAAATATCCGAAATACCCGATTTGAAATATCAAAAGGTCGGGCATAGTATTTAAATTAAAAAAAACCCGAACGGGTTTAGAGTTTGCAAACCCGACCCGTGCACAACCCTAATCAGGATGGGAAATTTTCGGACTTTATCTTTGTTCTTGATGGGGCGGATGTATGATTTAGGGTTTTTATAATCTCAAATACATGACTTTTTAATCTAAAGCTTGTTACATATATAAATGTATTGGGTTTCATGTATGCAATGTCATTTACATTGCGATGTTTTAAATTAAAATGACATACCAAACATTTCTTTTGAATCAAGACGTAATGCTCATTAAATTACATGATTGTAGGCCTATCAATGGGTCAGGTCTAAATACAGACCCGACCCAGACCCGGTTGTTTTTATCGGGTACGGGTCTATATTTTGTTCCGTTTACCCAGACCCGAATCCAGGCCCGTTAGTATTGTTAATAAACGGGTCGGGTATGGTAGATATGATTCCGACCCGTTAAGGACCCAGACCCGTTTAAAATTTCTCACTTACATACTCACATACTAATACATAAAGTGATTAGTTATAATACTTCAAATAAAAAATACAAACTAACACACACAATAATATATATAAGGTTATTTTTTTGAAGGTAAATAATAGATAAAGTTAGTAGTTGTAAATTTTCAATTTAAAATATACACACTAATACAGTAATACATACCTACTATATAAGTGATACCGATCGAGATAGTAAGATACTCTAAAACTAATACTCATTTTGGTCGTAAATACATACCGATAAAATGTATATTGGGCTCGCTAGGCAAAGCACAATATTTATTATTATTAATATTATTATTATATCATGATCTTCTTCTTTTTTTAAAGGAAACTTAATATTAATAAGCAAAGTGGAATTACTAGCATGCCTTAATAGCCAAAATGTAAAAAAGAAGAGTAAGAGAGCTAAAGAGTAAGATCAGGTCCGGGCCCTCTAGGCCCATTCGATCTATTATTCGCACATCAAGCCAAGAGCAAGAGAAAGCGACATATAGTGTGGAGTGATACGCATATACAAGAATCGTCAATTTATTGGATAAAACTACTAATTTTCTATGCGAACCATTGATATTTTTGAAAAGTGAAGATATATTTTGCTTTTAAGTTTGCGCACTTTGCTTGTTATTTTCACAAAGTTTATAATGGTGTGTCAGTCATACTTGGCGGGTCTAGCCGACCCGATTTCGAGACCCGTTGGGTTTGAGCCCGGGTCCAAATTTTCAGACCCGACGGGTAAATGGGTCGAGTCTTGGTCCATTATTAACTTAGCGGCTCCAGGTTTGGAACACTATGTTCCGGCTCGAACCCGACCCTTTGACATGCCTACATGATTGATTACCTCATCCCAAACATAGCCTAAATGCATTCGCCTTGCGTTACTACATGCATGAGCCAACAAATTCTTCCAAGTCCACCACACGATATTATACTCTTTTTTCTCAGAAAATTTTCTAAGACCAAAAGGATGTGCAATGTAACTAGTAAGTGGGGGGCTCGGTCAAGGTTACAAGCAAATCAAAGCTCACCTCAGGAAACAAACACCCAACAACCTCGGCCGTTCTTACCAAGTTAGGCATTATTTTAAACCAACCTTTGACTTATAATTTTAAATTTTTCATCAACTCCTGGCTACGACTGCGAAAGTAAGAACTAATCTATAGGAACAAGAAACAATGTTCACCAGTATTTTGGAGCTAACTTCAGGGACCAACAGAGGACCATGAGCTCGGATAATACCAGGGCCGTCTTCAGAACTTTTGGTGCCCCAGACGAAAAACTTTTTTCGAAGCAAAGAAAACAGATTTATTTTCTCGTTCCTATTAATAGAATCCGTAAAAGATTACATAACGTGATTTTTTAGTTTTCTCGTGGAAACCATTTGCGATGATGACGTCAGACAAATCACGAGAACTATGTTAATTAATGTACTTGTCTCTTAGATTGTATCCTTTATTAATAAAAGTTGTTTTTTATTTTTATGCCATGAACCTATTCATTTTTTGTTAATGGTTGACCGAGTATAATATGTGTGTGTGTGTGTGCGCGCACGCGTGTGTGTGTGAGAAAAAATAAAAATATATACATGAGAAATCTTCCGATCTAGATGGACTGACCAGAACCGCCGTCCGGTCGCCTCCATTTGAGTTTCTTTCGGGTAGCATATTTTGATAAACTTTTGTGAGTATGTTTGTCATGAACTTTAGATTATATTCATGAAATTTTACCTCAAAGCTCAATCAGGAAGTCGGTTAAATAAATTATTTAAAAAAATGTGCCAAAAATATACATAAAACATAGTATTTTTCAATAATTTATTTCACTGACTTCCCAATTGAATTTTAAGATAAAATTTATGAGCATAATATTAACTTCATGAGGAACATGCGAACAAAATTTCATCCAAAATATCCACCCAAAAGCATTTCAAACGGAGGCGATCGGACAACTCTTCCGATCAGCCCAATTATAATAGAAGCTTTTTTAAAAAAAATGGTGCCCCATCTAAAATTGGTGCCCTAGGCAAGTGCCTAGGTGCCTTGGCCCTATGGACGGCTCTGGATAATACATCCCTTGTATAGCAGGTGTCACATTCTTTTTACTCGGAGTTTTTAATGAGGCACCACCTTGTTAAGTTCCCTCGCCAAAACTGCCATTCCAGTCGAAGAACTTCTCGCGATCACCTTAGAGAAGATCGTCGCTTCAGAAAGTGGAGGACTTGTGATGGAGTGTGTTGTCATATTCCCCGGGGGCCGGGTATCGACCTTAATATAAGGAACCTCCTCAAACGACTAAGACAACTCCAGCCGAGGCTAAGCCCAAAACAACAAAACTAGTTCTCAGACGATCGAGATAAGCCCTGGAGTCGAGACTGAGCCCACCTTGGCCTGAGGTCAGAGCCAATCTCGGTGCAGCATTGTGGCCTGAGGCAGAATCAACGTCAGATTCCCGAAATCAGCTAGATAGTTCCAAGAATTACTTTAATCGAACTTCTTTCCTCTGAGCTAAGCCTCAAGACGTCTGAATTGGATATCACTAAACCTACGCCTAGGGGTGGGCAAACGGGTCTTGGAACCGCGGTCCGGTCCGGGTAATGGCGGTTCGGGTCCAAAACGGGCCGGTTCCATTTTTTGTTTCCATAAAACGGTCCGGGTAGGTTCGGGTAATTTTTTTTAAGGACCCGGGCCGGTTCCAAAATAAAAAAATACCGGGTACCCGGCCCGGCCCGTTATATATATTGTATATTAATTTATTAATAGTTTTGTGATAATCGGTTTTGAAATAGTTTTGTTTTCCTTTGCTAGAAGTAGGATTTTAAATTGAGTTGCAGTAACATCATTTTGCTTTCAAATTATTGATTAAATTTTACATAAATTTCTTATTATTTTTATTGTTATTGAATTATTCCTTTCTATGGAATTTAATTGTTTGTTTAAAATGATTTTGTAATATTTGTTTTTATAATATTGTTCTTAAAATATATAAATTGTGATTACCACCCCCATGTATGTGTCACCTTAATATGTGATATTAGACAACATTTTTAAATTCAAATGTTAGAAAATATATATTTTGGCTATGTTGCTGATTTTTGGAACTTTATAATTGTTTGAAACTTATATACATGAAATTATGGAGTATTGGACTTGTCACTTGTGTTACATGTGCACCACTATGTTGTTATTTTGAAACTTGCTAATGTACTATATTATTAATTATTGATTTTTGGAACTTTGTGAGTTTTTACTAATTTTAAGACATGGGAATAGAAACCGTAAAACCCGGACCGGACCGACCCGTTTCAAATGGGTCGGGTAAGGTCCGGTTCCTATTTTGAAAATTGCAATACCCGGACCGGACCGGACCGTACAATGGAACCGGCGGTTCCATTTTATTTTGCATTACCCGCCCCGCCCCGCCCCGTGCCCAGCCCTACCTACGCCGAGTTGAGCTAGCTAGCAGCCTCATATAAACATTATCGACTTAGACATTTCAACTTCATTCCAGATAAACGAAGGCAAACGTCACCAAAGAATAATCAACGTAACTCTCGCAAGTCTACTCGTGTGGTTTGGGCAGACAATTTGTTAGTAAGGATCACAATTTGTACAAGCCAGTACTAATCAATCAGGAGTCAGGACTATGTCATCATCACCCTAACCAATCTGTTAATACTAACCGATGGTCTAGATCCTTACTAATAATTACGGAGTACAACGTAGTGCAATATATGTCATCATCACCTAAGTAAAAAAATTAAACATAAATTACTATAATTAAGTTACTATTCATTTTTGTAAACCATATTTATTTTAGTCATAAATAGATAGGTAATTATTTCTTTGGGGAAGTACCCCCATGGCTCTAAATCGGCTTCCGGTAGGGCAGCTCAAAATAGGGGGTTTAATGCACCAAACCCATTCGTGAAATATAAATTCGGCGCATTAGCCCCTGTTATTTAAAAATTGCGTCACACCCCCTGTTATTATTAATCATGCGCCAAACCCCTTCAAGAACAAATTTTACGATTTTAAAATCACTTTTTTAATAATATGGTTAAATATGCAAGTAACTTTGTCAAAATTTCTAAATAATACAAAAAAACTAATCATTTTTCAGTTTTTTGGAAATTAAATTTGTTCTCAGAGGGTTTGAAGCATTTTTTTATTATAAGAGTTTGACACAATTTTTAAATAGGTAAGCAACATTTGCCGAACATGTTTTCTCTGTTCATCTTGTCTCTGCGTTTAGGGTCTACCTGTGTATGAATAAATTCATTTCAGAGCCTCCAATGGACGATCACGAAGGATTCTCAACAGTCGAGCAACCCAAACCAGGTTTCGGCTATATATACGCAATATTTCATATTTCAATTGTTGATAAATGTTTCCTCTTTATGTTCATATTGTCTCTCCTTTCAGAGTTTTCCTGTACGAGGAAACCCATTCCAGACCCTCCAGAGGACAATGCGGCAGGGTTCTCAAATTTCGGGCAGCCTACTTCAGGTATTGGTTATTTATAACCATTACTTTAATTGCTGATATTTTTCTGTATATGCTTATCTTGTTTCTCGGTTTAGTGTTTTCCTTTAGGAGATTCATTTTTGAGCCTCCAGTGGACAGTGATGAGGGATCCTCAATGGTCGACCAGCCCGAACCAGGTTTTGGCTAATTATAAGCAGTATTTCAATTGCTGATAAATGATTCCTATTTACATTTATCTTTTCGACTTGTCTCTCTATGTTGTTATCACAAAAATCAACACAGTGCTGCTATTTGAATGTTTTAATAGCATATTGGTGTGTTCATATTGAATGTTTTACTAGCATATTTATTTGTTCATAGAGCGCCAATACCATCTTAAAGCAAATGAATCAGACAAATCTGATTGACAGATAAATCAGGGATTGGAGAATCTCTTGAGATCCTAGATATTGTTTTCTAGGCATGTTACAATCAGGATTTGAGAATCTCTGGGGATCTTATATGATATTTCCCTAACTCTTTAAAGCCTAATTAAGGGCCATTGAAAATTATACAAGTTTTCAGAAAGAAAAGTCTAAGGGAGTTTGTTGAATTCCCAATAAAAATTCCAACTTATAGTGTTAAAAATTTGCTTAACTATATTCTTCCTAGTTTTCTCCCCAAACACTAAACATAGCCAACCTTCTAAAGCTCAATCTGTCCTAACACTCGCCCAAAGGCCAGTGACGACATCTTGCACAAAACCTGCCAGTGCCCAGTAACACACATGTATATGTAAATGAAAAAGGAATTTGTCATCTGAATTAAGGGCCATAGACGGAGTTTGATCCGTCAAATAGACAATAGTTATCAATGAAATTATATCATATACACCTATTCTCTATAAAGATATATTTTTAAATAATCTTTAAATTGCTCATTGACAACTATTGTCTGTTAACTGAATTGGTTTGCACGCCCACACAAAATTATTGTCAGAGAAATTGTTTCTTTCTTAGATATGTAAACAAAGTCTACACCAAGCATTGCTGATAAGTAAGTTTCCTTTGTGATTGTTTGAATGCAGGTTCGGTTATGCATCCTACTAAAAAGACCCTGCCCTGTCGACACTATTTCAGTGCCAGTGGATGCCGAAATGGTGAAAAGTGCTCCTTTGCACATGGCGACTGTGAATATAATGAACCATTTTACATTCCACTCAAGGACAACGCTCAAGTGTTCCGCCCTATTTACAGCTCCCATATTAAGAGCCCACTTGATCCTTTTAGATTCGCTCTCTATACAATCATGGCATACCCATATATTCGTCCAGACCAACTCGGAGTTATTTTTGGAGAAAAAAGGGAGTTACTTCAGTGGATCTGCAACCTAACCGGGGTCAAGATAGTTGTTGAAGATAACGAAGAAGATCCTTCTTTCAAGAAAATCATCTTGTCCGGTTCGATTAAATGTGTTTACGATTCAATGCAGCTAGTGGATGCTTTATTGAAAAACTTTTTTTCTATCTCAGCAGACGGTAAAATCCCACCCGTGGTAGAGTACAAAACAAAGATTTGTAAGAATTATGCTAAGAAGGGGTTTTGCAAGAATGCAGAAACGTGTGTCTTTGCACATGGTGACTCCGAGCTCCGCCCATCTGCTGTTGAGATTTTGCAGAGAACCATGGAGGAAATCAGGACACCGAAGCGGCGGAAATAAGAAATGGAATTATTTGTGCCTTTGTGGTACCCATGTGTGAATAAGTGGTATAACTCGTCTTTCCCTTAGCTTTTGATGATCATGGTTCATGGACCTTGCTTGTAGTATTCTCTATTTACATGCTTGTAGTGTTCTCTATCCATGCTTGTTCTATTCTACCTTGCTTCTTTCTTATGGACTGTGCTTCGTTTCTCTTTTGGTTGCTAATTGCTTACTTTTGCTGTGTTTAAAGTGTTCTCCCTAAATACAATCTGGGGGGTTCAACCTGGCCTCTTATAGAGGGTACGGTACCTTCGCGTTGGAGGACAAATAAAAGTAATACACATGGATATCTACAACTTCGCTCTGCGGACTTAATTTCAGATTTTAAATGGTTTGAAATTTTGAGTTTTTAGATCAATTATTCCTTAGTTGACTTTTACTTCAGCGGCTCTCTAGTGCTAGATTCGGGTTCAGCTCCTCTCCATTTCTTTCTCTCCATTTCCCCTCTATTTCTTTTTTACTTCCTATCTATCTTTACCTTTTTCTCTATTCTACTCACCAACCTACCCCACCCTTAAATTTCTCCTCTATCTCTTTCATAATGGAACTCTCCAGTCAGTCAGTCACTGGAGAGGATCCAAATTCGCTAGATTCTTCTTGCTCAATATAGTGGATATCAATTGATGTTGTTCAAGTTTAGTTTTGGCTATACGATATTACGATGCTTAGTAATTCAGATTTGAGGATCTAAATTTGTTTGGTTTTAGCATGGGTTCCTTGCTCCTCATAAATCAGGAACATGTGTCTAAAAATCAAAAGGGTTCCAAGTTTTAAGATTGAGTTCTCTTTAGTTCTTCGTAGCAGTAAGAAAAAGAATTTTTAGTTTTAAAGTTTTTGGCATGTACAAGATTTTTAATGTTTTTAGCGGACAAAAGAATTTTTAGTTCTAAATTTTTGGTTATAAATTAGCGACAAACATTTGAATACGCTAGAAAGATCGATTCAACATTATTATGTTGATTGAGTGTTGGGGAGGGTTAGGGTTAGGGTTTGGGTTTGGGTGGCTGTGGTGTGGGGAGGGGGAGGGACGGTAGTTGGGCAGTTGTGCGGTGTATTGTGAGACCGCAGTGGCAGTGAAATGGAAGGCCGCAGGCGGCTGTGACTGTGAGACAGCATTGGCGGTGAGATGGTGGGCGGCAGTGTTGGTGGGCCGCGGGCAGGGCGGGTGGCGGTGACTATAAATTATGAAACTACGGTGGTTTGCAACAGCTTCTGCTTTTAAAAAAGTGCTTTTTTTAATGAAATGGGGAGAAGTGATTAAATTAAAGTTGATAGTGTTTGAGAAAAAAGTGATTTTGAAAAGTAAAAGAGGGTAGTGTTTGGTAAAATAAGTGCTTTTTGTGTAATAGAAAAAGTAAAAGCACTTTTAACGCGGAAGCCGAGAAAAATAAAAGTTGTGGTGTTTGGGAAAATAAATGTTTTTTTAAAGCCAAAAGTTGAGAAGTGCTTTTTTAAAAGGAGTTGCAAACCAACCCTTAGTAATGGAAATGTTAGTAAAGGTTAAGAAGTGTTAATATTAACCTTCCCATTACAAGTGTTAACACTTCTTAACACCTCTTAATTTTTCTCCCATACAAGTGTTACTATCAATACTTACTAACACTTTCATAATTTATTTTATTTATTTAAATTCAATAAGGGTAAATTTGCTGCTTTATAGGAATTCTAGAGGTATTTTTGTGCCTTTTAGCTTTTCAGGGGTATATCTGCACATTGACATATACTTCAATGGTATATTTGCAAATATACTAGTCAATTAACTTGTGTGTTGCACGAAATATAGATGAAATTGAATTTGTAAACAAATGTCTCATAGGCAATCCATAAAACACATTGTTCAAAAATATGTTCTTTGAATTTATGTATTTTTGTGTAAGAATGTAAGATGATATTCAGACTGTTTTTTTTATTAATTCTGATTAATACAAAATATATAGCACAATCTCCAATCTGGAATATTTGAAGTAGTAAAAGTGATAATAAATAACAATCTTTATTTATAAACTATTTTAATATTCATAAAGATGGAGATATTGGAAGTATTTATTGTTGATAACATTTTCTCATGAGAAAATGGATAGAAAAAGGTCTATTTTGATATCTTCTTAAGTACTACCGGAGAAAAAGGTCTAATTTGGAGTAATAATATCACTATTGTTCATTTTATGAAAGAAATTGTGTACTTGATAAGTTGATAATACTGGCCGGTTTCTTATTTTAGAGAACTTTTAACTCATTTGTATTTATCTTTATCTTTGTATTCCTAGTTCTTATAAGTATAACAGACACGTCCTAGTTCTTATAAGTATAACAGACACGAATAAAGGGAGATATTATGGAGTAAATATTTTTCGTATTGGGATGAGGTTTTTTATGAATTTATTAAATGTGATGAACTCTCAACCTATGCACATTTTATTGTTCCTAAAAGGTAATTTTTTTATAATAGTTAAATATACTAAGTACATGAGATATTTTAAAAAATAATCTATATAATTTTCATCATAATTTTCTTTGAATAATACTTTGTATAATTATGATGTCAATTGTTATCATCTGAATTAGATACGAAAAATCAAGGATATATGAATGTTTATCGTTTATTTTGTATCCATTAGTGTGTCACTGTGTCTCATTTTCCCTTTGCTTCTTCTTTTTTTTTTTTTTTCATTTCTTTTCTTCTCCTCAATCAAAATACTAAAAAGTTTAATTGTGAATGTTCTTTAATAAAGAATATTCACAATAAAAAATAACAAGTAAAATAAAAATGAGAAGATATAAGTATGTCTTGAATTATATAAGGATGCGAGATAGATAAAACTGCATATATTATTGATTTAATTTATTTGTGAGTAGTTCGAAAAAAGTTCATGAATATATACGTTCTATGTGATATAGTTGAGATGAATATTTATTGTTTTATCAACATAAAATTTTTAAATTATCTAAAAATAAAATTTAATTACTACTAATAACTAGTAAACACATATTATCATCATTCAATATAGCTACATTATTACAGACAATGAAGAGTTTTTTTCCACTTTTAGTCCTCCGACTATTATGTCATTGACATTTTTGGTACTCAACTTTGATTTTTTCCATTTTTAGTCCTTGACTATTGCGCTAGAGACACTTTTGGTACATTTCTTTGTAAATTTCCATATTTAGTCCTTCAACTTTCATAAAAGTGACACTTTTGGTCCTTCAACTATTATAATAGTGACTTTTTAAGTCCTACACTTAGTGTGTCAAAATGATAATGGGAGGACTAAAATTGTCAATTTGACAATACTCAGGGACTAAATGTGGAAAACCTTGAAGTCGGGGACTAAAAGTATCTCTAGCACAATAGTCAAGGACTAAAAATGAAACAATTAGAAGTCAAATACCAAAAGTGTCATTGACATAATAGTCGAGGGACTAAAAATGACAAAAACTCGACAATGAATGTGTAAATGAATTTATAAACTAAATTAAATTAAACATAACACAAACATTATTTCTCTAACACAAGAAAACCAAAGACTATTGATGAAATTAAGATTAATTAGAATTAATGCTTAACAATTAACATATAAATTTCATATTTATTAGGTTTGTTCGGTTCGGTTCGGTTTTGAAGGGTAAAAACCCAAACCGAACCAAACAACTTCGGTTCTGTTTTTTACATTCGGTTTCGGTTTCTTAGTGGTTCAGTTTTATTTGGCTACGATTCGGTTTAATTTGATTTGATTTTCGATTTTCAGTTTTTTGGACTCAGCAATAGTTGCATCTTGTTGTGCGCGAGTTATATCTTGTTATACGCGAGTTACATCTTCGTATGTGCAAGTTACATTTAAACTTCCCTCAACGTGTCAAAATGTAATTAACTAATTACATTTGGATTAATTAAATTACAATTGAATTAATTAACTCTTTCTTTACCAATTGATTAAAAAATTATTAATCCACATAAAATAAGTATATTGTGTTTCATAATTATACAATACTTTTTTTACTTTTTTTCATCACTGAAATTACAACCAAATTTACTTTTTCATATTCATACACTTTCTCTATAATATATTTCTTATCTCTTTTATATGTTTCTAAGACATTGGGTTTGTTTGCTTCCATTAACATATGATAAAACAAGTGATTACATTTTCATAATTTCATGTGTCCGATTTACATACTTCATATGTGCGAATTACATATATATATATATATATATACATGATTCCTTGAGTTATATTTTTTGATAACACATGGAATTACATCTACTAATGTGTGGGTTATATCCTTGTATTCACGGGTTACATTTAATTATGCGCGAGTTACATCTAATTATTTTTTATTTATATTTATCTTTAACTAATTAAATTACAACTGAATAACTTCTTTCTTTACCAATTTATTACAAAATTTTATTAACCCACATAAAATAAGTATATTGTATTTCATAATTGTACACTATTGTTTCTATTGTTTTATCATCTTAAATTACTACCAAATTTATTTTTTGTGTATTTTTTAACATTTATAAACCTTTTTGGTAAAATATTTTCCATATTCATACATTTTTTCTATAATAAATTTCTTATTACTTTTATACAAAGTTTGTTTGTTTTGATTTAAATTTGATAAAACATGGGATTTCATGTTTCATATGTGTGAGTTATGTTTATAGACATTATAAGGAGTTTACATTTGATAGTATATATAATTATATCTTCTTATGCGCGAGTTACATCTTCTTATGTGAGAGTAATATCTTCTTGTGCGTGAGTTACACTTTTCTATGCGGCGGTTGCATTTGGGTTTGCCTCAACAAGTTATAATTTGCACACCTAAGTTAGATTTTCTATCATTGGAGTTACATTTTGCATACATCTAAGTTAGATTTTTCATCATGATGAGTTACATTTTTCCATAACACGATTTACATCAAAACATAAAACCATGATATTGAAACAAAAAAAAATCATTTTTATGGCCTTAATATTAAAAACAGAACATATTTACTATTTAAGTAAACCCCTGCTATTGAAACAAAAAAATGATTTTTTGAAAAAAATGATTTTTTTTGCAAAAAAAAGATAAATAATATTATTTATGGCCTTAATATTAAAAACAAAATGTATTCACTATTTACATAAAGTAATTGAGCAATTAGAC